CCTCCTGTCATTTAGAAAGAAATAGTTCACATTTATAACAAAAATTCAAGCAGAAGGGAAGTGGCACTGCCCCACCCATTGCAAGACACGCTGGGATAGCAGGGAATTACACAGTGGAGAAAAAAAGGAGAACACGTCCCTAAGGTTGTCCACTGCGACGCTTTCACAGACTCCTATGCCATATACTTGTGGAACTCTGAAGCCATTTCTGACAGCCCTCAGTCTCAGCAGTAATGCTCCCCCCTCCCCTGGGAACCAAGGACCTAACAATTGCCCACACACATACTGAAATGTTGGGAACGTTCCATCATCTCCCTGAGTCTTTGTGAATGTTCTCCAAATAAAACTCAGTTATTAAATAGGGGCAAGATAACCCTTAGGTGTTGACTCAGTTAACAACTACACATGCACGTTCTACTTGATGTTTTGACTCAGTCCCTGGGAAAGGGGCAAAATGACCCTCAGATGTTTCCCCTTACCTCATCTGATCTGGCAATTGCTCTCCAGCCAATTATTGGTAATAGCCCTTTTAAATAAGCTAATCATAATAGTTAAAGAACAACTCCTAGACACCCCTTCCTTCTGGGGTTTTTCCCTTTAGAATTTGTCTACACCAATCATTTTGAGTCTTTCTAACCTTCCGAATGCTGAAAGACCCTGTCATGACAGAATTAACAAAATCCTCATGCTTTTATATCAGCTGTGGTGTGAGAGATGGTCTCTGGGTTGGTGACTCCTCCTCAGTGATTGAACTCTAGAGTCCAACATCCCTTACCCCAGCCCAGGTCACAGACCCTCACTTAAGCATGAGCCCATAGAGACAAAGGAAGAAGACCCTGTGCACACACAATAAAGGATGTGGGATATCCTGGGCTAAAACCATTATAACTGCTGATTCCTTATTAACTTCTAGAATACTAGGGGCCCAGAGGCCCAGGTGAATACATATACCCTCTTATCAGTTCCTAAAATTTCATAAAGAGGCCCATGGCTTCATTAAAAACAATTCCGGGGGTGGTAGGGGCAGAATCGTGAGCAGTATTTGTACTTTGATATCACAGGGTTACCTCAGTCACCCCAATTACTTAGACATGGCTGTTTTGTAGTGATTGTGTGATGTGTCGGGAGTCTGAGTTGCTAGTGATCAAGGATGAAGTTCAAAGGGAACTTGGGCAGTTGTTAAATTTTTCATCGCTCCCTGCAGCCTTAATTACATAGCCAACCAGGCAGGGTTGGGCAGGGTCAATAAGAAAACATGGGGTTTGTTGGGCCTGCCTGACATCACATGAAAACTACTTGACCTTCTGTGATTCCCTCACATTATCGTAGGAGAATGTACAGACAGAGAAACAGAAATTTACATACTGCTGTCAATAAAATATACATCATTTCTCATCATAACCTGGACACCAGTCACTCCTGTCAATCAAAATCCCATCGTGACCCAGACCCCAGTCATCCCTGTCAATCAAACACAGGTGATTTCCCATCATGACCCAGACCACGTTCACCCCTTTCAATCAAACACTCACCTTCCATCATGACCCAGACTCAAGTCACTCCTGTCCGTCAAACCACATTTCCCATCATGACCCTAGCCCAGTCACAGCTGTGAAACAAACACACATCTTTCCCCACCATGACCTGGACCCCAGTTACAGCTGTTAATCAAATGTACCTCATTTCCCATCATGACCCAAAAGCTGTCACAGTTGTCAATTAAAGGTAAGTCATTTCCCATCATGACTAGACCCAGTCACAGTTGTCAATCAAACACACCATTTCTTATCATGATAGACAGATGGAGGGACAGATAGCTCCTGCTCCTGAGCATACAACACTCCTGAAACACCCTCAACAGCTATCACATGCTCCCCCCAATCCTGGGGTCCCCCTTGCTCAGGAGCCACAGAGAATCATTGATACTCTCCCCGCACTCCAGCAGTGTGATAATAAACTGAATAACCAACAGACTGCACTCACCCTGAGCTCCTGCTGCAGCTCCTACATGAGGACACAGTCCTCTCCCATCAGGCAGGGACACTGACTGAGCCTCATTAGCCTATCTGGATATGTCTGCCCTCATTAGAATAATTAAGTATCCTACCATCACATTAGCATAATTAAGTATTCCTCTGATCTCATTACCATAATTACATACTAATTAGGGTGTCTGGCCTCAGCAACCCCCCCCTTCCAGATTCTTTAATAGAGAGTTTTAATGATAACTTGGGAAGAATGAAGCTGGGGTTACACAGAGTTCAAACCACTGGCCTCACAGGAACTCAGCTACCCACATGTCAATCAACATCACAGAGGACTTTCAGCTGAAATAATAAAGAATAAATGGGGAGGGCCTGATACATGCTAGAAGGGGCCTGGAACATGATGAGATGAGTATGATAGGAGGGGCCTGATGCATGCTGGGAGTAATTTGTGTATTATAGGAGGGGCCTGATACAGGTTGGGAGGGGCCTGAAGCATGATGGGAGGGACTTAGGTATTTTGGGATGTGCCTATGTATTATGGGAGGGGCCTTGCTTTACAGTAGGGGCCTGGTGCAAAGTGGGATGGGCCTGGGTATTATGGGAGAGGCCTGTACATTATGGGAAGGTCTATGTTTTTTTGGGCAGGGCTGGAGCATTACTGGAAGGGCCCTGTGTATTATGGAAGAGGCCTGGTGCATGCTAGGAGTGGTCTATGCATGATGGAATGGGCCTGCATATGGTTTTTCTTGAGATCATCAAAGTGTGATGCATTAAAATGTCATATTTACAATTCCTAAAAGACCTTCATTTTCTCACATAATCAACTTGTAAGAGGTGGGGCACACTTGTAGGAAATGGTGGGTGTGCACAAGGCTAACCTACTGGCTACAGCAGACTGAAATATGAGAAACCACTGCTATTTTCAGGGTTATTTTTATGCTTCAGTCTCTTGTTAAAATGCCACTAGGCTTGTGTATTATAGTTATCATTTTGGTACTTTCTAACTTGAACATGAAAAGATTTATTAGAACTGACACCAATACAAAAAGCAGTAGGCAATAAGGAATAGAGTAACAATGTCTGGGAGAGTTGAAAGACAACAAGGAAAGAAGACAGGGGGTAGAGAGAGTCCTTGGTCCAGGAGAACTTTCTGTAAAGAACATGAAGGTGTCAGTTAGAGTCTGACCTGCCCCTTTACACATTTTATTGAAAGTTTATGTAAAAGGAATTCCCCTTTAAGTAGGTTTTGCTGAGAAAGTCGGCCTGGTGACTTTCATACATAAATTCCAAGCTTACAAGTTTTAACATTGAATTTTTCAATGTAAAAGCATAGGCGAATTTACACCTTTGGCAGTGAACAGAACATCTTCCTCCCACAATTCCCATTTCAGCATCACCAGCATCTGTGCATCACTATTATTTCAAAATATAGATACCTTCACTGTTCAAATACAGTTGTAAATCACACCCAAACTACTGATTTCATGTTTCTTTCATATTTAGTTGCATTTGTAAACATCTATCTACCAGAAAGTCTGATACTCCTAAATGCCCTATTTCCCTCTTCTCTAGGGGCAAATCTGATTTTGAAGAGCACCTGGCAAAATGTCTTAAGGGCCTGTGTATTTTGGGAGGGGCCTGGGGCATGCTGGGCCGTCCCCACAGTTGCTGTGCACACTTGGGTTCCTACCTGTTCAGCTACTGTTCCAGTGTCACTGTTACGCCTGTGTCATGGGACACAGACAAGACCACCACAGAGTCGGTCTCCGATGCAAACACACTGGGGTTTACTGATTACAAGTTAGCTAAATCCGACACTCCCCAGAGGCTTCAGGGTAACGGGGTTTTAAAGGGAAAAGCCACAAGGCAGGGGGACACAAGTCTTAGCGTTTGGTGATTGGGTAGAAGTATACAACTTTTGAATTAGTTGTTTCGGGTATAAGGGAATTTCAAAACAGACAAAATAGCAGTTAATCAAGTACGTACCGACAAGGACGTTTGAATCAAGCAGACGTAAACAGATGTTGTTTGGATACCCTGGTGGGGTCACTTTGACCAGAGCTGGCAGTTTTTGGAATGTTTATTACTTTGCTGGGCTGCATTCACCTTCCCCCGCCGTCTAGTTAGTTCCTGTCTAAAATAGAGTTCTTTGTCAAAAGCAGTTTGTTCTGCTCCTTCACCACCAAGCTAACAGATCACCTTAAGGAACTCATGTGGCCCTACAGCTCCTGCTGTTCTAACCTCCTCCCGGGTAGCAATTTCTACAGAAAGTTGGAGCATCCAAGGTTGGAGCGGCTGAGTGGGGCGGGAATTTCCAAAAATAAAGTTAAATTACGCAAGAATCTCTACTGCCCAGGCCTGTCTGGGAGGAAGACCGGTTCCAGCCGGATTCGTGTCGACTCTGCACAACCAGACAGACGGGTTCCTCCCGGGTGGGTGTTGGGGGGGGGGGGCGGGAAAACTGACGGATACCGAAGAGAGGTTAGAACCGGCTGAAACCGGCTGGCTCCTGGTGCTCCGCATTTACGGTGAGTCTGGGTGGGAGGCGGAGGAGGGGGGAGAGGGAGGGGACTTTACCCCGCAAGGACAGATGGCATCGTCGTGGGGGGGGGGATACCCAGGATCGTGAGGATTCGGCGCAAAAAGCAGGGTGGGGAGAGGGAGGACAGAGGAGAAAGTTCGTCCCTCCCCCACCCTCGGGAGAAAAAACAAAAATAAATCAAAGGGTCCTTTTTGGTCATATGGGAGGGCCATCACAGCCAGTTCCTGCAGGTCTGTATGGGAAACCTTCGGGTGAAAATGATGGTTGACAAAACAAAACAAAACAAAACAAAAAAAAGAAAAGAAAAAGAAAAAAAAGAGTTTTGCAAAAAAAGTTTGGAGGGAGACAGGAGAGATGACGAGTTAGCAAAATAAACTGAATTAAGACGGATGAGAATCAAAAACTGAATTAGGAAATGAAGCTTATTAAGAATGAAAATGGAAAATAAAATTTTTAAATTAAAAATTAAATTAAAGAAGAAATACCGACAGAAGTAAAATTTGAAAGCACACCGAAGTGAAACTTAAACTAGAAATAAAATTAAATGCAAAGTTAAAATAAAAAAAAAAAAAAGAACACTGCTTGTTGGGCCGGTGTGTGGCACCCATCCCAGCATGGCATGTATGAAAAAAAAAAATAGGTACATAAACAGATGAGGAGGGAACATGCGTCAGAATCATGATTTCTATGAATTTTTGACAGAGCAAAATGTGAGGTGATACTTTCAACCAAACACAAGATACTCAAAACTGAAAAGATTTTTTTAAAGTTTTAGAATGTTAAAGATTTTAAAAATGGTTTTTAAAAGTGAATATTTTTCATGACTCCATCAAACTGCCGTTCAAACCTGTGGGCCCTGGCACAATCCCAACCTCGCAGAAGGACAGGAAAATCCTCGGGAATCAAAATATTTGCACAGGGCGGTTTAGAGGGCAGTAACTGAATGATGAAATTTATCTTTAAATTCAGTTTCAACCGAAGCTAAAAATGGATGAATGGTGAATCTCTCCCATAATACACTGGCTCCTCCCACAACAAACAGGTCCCTCCCATAATACACAGGCCATTCCCATAATACACGGGTCATTCCCATAATGTGCAGGCCCCTCCCATAATGCACAGTTCTCCTAGAATGCACCAGGCTATTCCCATAATGCATAGGTCCCTCCCATAACACACAGGCCATTCCCATAATGCACAGGCCTCTCCCACAATGCACAGCCCATTCCCATAATGCACAGGCTTCTCCTAGAATGCATCAGGCCCTTTCCCAGAATGTACCATGCCCCTCCAATAATATGCAGACCTCTTCCTGCATTCACCAGACCCCTCCCATAAGAAAGTCTCCTCCCAGCATGCACTAGGCCCCTGCCAGAATTCATCAGGACCCTGGGACCACACACTATACCCAGCATGCAACAGTCCTATTCCATAATAACAGGCCCCTCCCAGCATGTGCCGTGCCCCTCCTATAATACACAGGCCCCTCCCAGCATGCATCAGGTCCCTTGTAAAATACACAGGCCCTTCCCAGCATGAAGCAGGCCCCATCCATAATACACAGGTCTCCCCCAGCAGGCACCAGGACCCTTCCCAGCATGCTCCAGGCCCTTCCCTCTATTTCCAGTTTCCTGTGCTATCAGGTCTCCATCAGTGTCCTCTCTCCCAGCAGTTTCCTGACCAGCGTGGCTGAAATACCCACTCTAGAAAGGGTCACAGTAATGATGTCACAGTTGCTTTCTTAGGCATGGGCAAGGGAACAGCACATAGGGTGATTGACAGTTCTGTCGATTGTCACTACCCATAATTCCCTGGAAAGTGTCTCAGTGAGGGACTTGCCACCTCACAGGGGCCACATGTCCTCAAGGTTGGTTGACACAGGAGGGTTGTGGGCCTGTCCTGAGGGATGATTGACAGGAGAACTGAAGGCATGTCCTGAGAGATGATTGACAGGAGGGCTGTGGGCATGTCCTGAGGGATGATTGACAGGAGGACTGTGGGCATGTCCTGAAGAATGACTGACAGGAGGATTGTGGGTATGTCCTGAGGGATGATTGACAGGAGGGTTGTGGGTATGTCCTGAATGATGACTGACAGGAGGGCTGTGGGCATGTCCTGAGGGATGACTGACAGGAGGGCTGTGGGCATGTCCTGAAATATGATTGGCACAGGACGACTGTGGGCATGTCCTGAGGGATGACTGACAGGAGGACTGTGGACATGTCCTGAAGGATGACTGACAGGACGACTGTGGACATGTCCTGAAGTATGATTGGCACAGGACGACTGTGGGCATGTCCTGAGGGATGATTGACAGGGGAGGGCCTATTGTGGGGAGTACCATCACTCAGGCAGGTAGAAGGGCAGGGACTGTGTAGGTGTCCTTCCTGTCACATGCTCACTTGTCATGTATTTACTTCTTGCAGGAATCCTTAGACTGAAAGTGTCATGCCACATTTCCTACATACCTGGTAAGAGAATCTCCCAGCAGTCCTTGTTGTGGAAACGTAATTGATTGACAATTTATAATTATTCGTAAATTAATCCTGTATAACCCATCATGGCCAGAAGTTGCCACCATGATTCCCGGACCATGTAGCTACTCAGCATGCGATGGCGTCAATGCTCCCTGCCTCGGTGATATGACACTTGTGTTTCAGGAATTACCTTGCCACTCTACTGGGTGTCTTCTTGGGCCTGAAGCCAGTCACAGGCCTGGACGTGTCACAGTCTCGACCCAACTTCCTCCTGCTCCTGGCAGATGACCTGGGCATCGGGGACCTCGGCTGCTATGGCAACAGCACCATCAGGTAAGGAGAGGGAAGGGCTGTGTTACCCATAATACTCCATATGATGGTACCCATAATGCTCCTCACCAGGATACCCATAATACTCCTTACCATGATATCCATAATATTTCTCACCAGGATACTTATAGTGCTCTTTATTTTGGTACCCATAATACTTCTCACAGCATGGTACCCATAATAATCTTAACCTTCTGTTACCCATAATACATCAGGATATATGCCCTTCCCATGATACCTAACTCCAGGCACTGATTCACTCTGGGGGGGCAGTAGCTCTGAATTTCCCATGATGCCTAGCACCAGGTAGTGACAGCGACAGCAGGCTGACTATGCCCAGCAAGACTGACATCAGGATTGCATGGGTGTGTGGGGCCCACCCTCATGCCATGACACACGCCCCTCCCCCACAGGACCCCGAACATCGACCGACTTGCAGAAGGTGGCGTGAGGCTCACACAGCATCTGGCAGCCGAGGCTGTGTGCACGCCAAGCAGGGCCGCCTTCCTCACTGGAAGGTACCCCATCCGCACAGGTGGGCAAACCTTCATGTCTGACCCCTGAAGTCACTGCCCCCTAGGGATTCACTGGTGATGTCACTTCCTCCACTAGGCCACACCCTTAAGTACCCTCAATAGTCCATTGAGCAATGATTCCATGTACCATCCCATTGATGATATCACATCCTCATACCAGACCTCACTGATAATGTAACTTCCTCTAATTAGGCACATGGGATGATACCACCTCCTTCCACTAGGCTCCATACCTAAGTCCCTTCCACTGACCTGTGACTCCAGCCATGGATGATCCCACTACTGATGTCACTTCCTCCCACTGGCCACACTGTTGCTGTCACTTCCTCCCATTAGGCCCCACTGCTGGCATCACTTCCCCCACCTGGTCCCGCTGCTCCCATTAGGCTATTGATGTCACTTCCCTTGTTCTGCCCCCACTGGTGACTCCTAGGCCTGAATCCTAAATCCTCCTATTGACCTCTGACTTCTTCCATGAATGATCCTGTTGGTGAGGTCACTTCCTCCCACTAAACCCCATTGTTGACATCACTTCCTCTGTCATGCCCCATTGATGATGTCTTTGTCCAATGTCCAATGATATCACTTCTCATTAGGCCCCATTCCTGAGTTCCTCCCACTCTGTCTCCATCTATGTATGAACCCACTGCTGATTTCACTTCCTCTCACTCTGCCCCACTAATGACATTGGTTCGTTCTAGACAGGACTCTTAAGTTTCTCTATGAGAAGCAGAGCCAGGTACATCCTGGGAGCTATAGGAGGCAGGGCCAGGGGCTTGCTGGGAACTGTGGGAGCAGGGCCAAATCCTACTGTGTGCCCAAGTCCTACTGTGTGCACGCCCTCCTAACTCATCTTCCTTCTGGTGCAGGCATGACTTCTGGTAATGGCCACCGTGTCCTCCAGTGGGCAGCGGGTGCTGGTGGCCTTCCTGCTGAGGAGATCACATTCGCGAAAATCCTGACCGAGCAAGGCTACGTCACAGGCCTCATTGGTGTGTTCTCTGACATTGTAGGCTAGTGATGTAATTTGATGTGGCCTGGGTTGGGATGTAGGTGGTGGTGACATCTGTCCTGGGCAGGTGGTGATGTCATCATACCTGGAGCTGATGATGGTGACATCATCTGACATGAGTGAGTGGTGATGCTACCAGACTCTGAGTGGGGGTGAGGTTATCTGGCGTAGACTGAGCGGCAACGTCATGTGATGTGAAGTGAGTGGTGACGGCACTGGACCAACAGCATCTGTCCCATTCATCATGCTTGTGGTTTCCTCTCCTCCACCCCACCACCAGGGAAATGGCACCTGGGTCTGAACTGTCACTCTTCCTCTGACCACTGCCACCACCCACTGAGTCATGGGTTTCAGCACTTCCTGGGGATGCCACTGGGCATGATGGGGGACTGCTCCGGGACAGAGCCTTCAGAGAAGCGTGTGACACTACAACGCCGCCTGTACCTGTGCAGCCAGGCATCTGCATTAGCAGCACTCACCCTGGTTGCAGGGAGGCTCATGGGGCTCCTCCATGCACCACGGTGGCTGCTAGTCCTCATCTTGGCTGCTGCAGCCACCATGTTCACTGTGTCGCGTCATGTTGGTGACCTCATCATATATGCTGATTGTTTCCTCATGAGGAACCACACTGTGACCCAGCAGCCCCTGCACCTCGAGCAGGTCACTGGCCTCATGCTCCGGGAGGCAAAGACATTCCTGCAGAGGTGAGTGGCCCAGGGCATGCATTTGGTGAGTGGCCAAATCCCGGCCAGGCCCCTACCCTTGCCCTCCCATGAGAGACATCAAAAGGTATCCATCAAAAGGCAGTGCATGGTGGGAAATCCCTGACCCCTCCCTCCACCTTTTTCCCTACCCCTTCCTTCCTCCCTCCTCCCTCTCTCTCCCCTGTGGTGCCCTGTGAGGAGTCAGCTGTTGACATCATGTGGCAGGAGAGTGGGTGCCCAAAGGTGACATTATTCACATGGAATGGGCAAGCTGCCCTATACACTCAAGTTAGGGTTACGGGAACTGGGTGAGGAAAAAAATCAATAACCTGCTTGGTGGGGTGTCTCCAACCGTTGGCTTCTGAAACGTAAGCAGAGGTAGGGGGATGGTGGGTGTGACAACAGCTTTGATGTAGAGCCAGGGACACGTGATTTATAGATAAAGAAGTAGGTGATCGGTATTGGTTTCTTGGTTTATTGTTTGGTGGAAACTAGAGGGAGCAGAGATAAGCAAGTGGGTGACTGACAGGAGAGTCATGGATGGGTAACCGATGATGGATATTGAGGGACTAGCTGACAGCTGATACAGAAATACAGTTACTAATAGATAGATGATAGATCAATACACACATAAGACAGATATGTGATTGACAGGTCTGTAAAGGATGATTAATAGATGATACAGATTGACTGACAGATACAGGATTGATTTACAGGTATATGATTGACAAATGGATATAGGTATAGATTGATTGAGAGATATATGATTGACAAATAATAGATACAGACTGACAGACACATGATTGAGTGACACATGATAGGCAAAGATTGACAGATAAATGATTGATTGATAGATAATAGGTAAAGATTGATTGAAAGAAACGTGTATGACAGATGACTAGTAGATGACAGATGATTGATGGACAGACAGAAAGATAGGACAGAAAAACCACTGCTGATGTCAGCAGGCTCCAGGTGGAAATGACTGAGACCTAGAGGCAGGACTACAGGAAATCGGCAGGGAAGTTGGTCAGAGGCAGTGATGTGTGATGTCACTGAAAAGAGGAGGAACTGTCATAGTTATCATTTTCCCATGGCCTGTGACATCAGCCCTTCACTCCCCCCATGGCTTCTGATGTCACCCCCCCCAGGAACAAGCACCACCCCTTCATGCTGTTCATATCCTTCCTGCACGTGCACGTCCCCCTCGTGACCACTGCAGGTTTCCGGGGACGGAGTAAGCATGGGCTGTATGGGGACAATGTGGAGGAGATGGACTGGATGGTAGGTGAGTATCGGGCATAGCATGGTCGCTGGGTCTGATGGGAATGTCCCGTTTCACATGTTTCCCTGATCCCCCCCCCACCACCCCATGTGTGGATCCCAGGGCCTGATAGGAATGCTGTGCATCACCATTGTCTCTGGGTCGCAAGGGGCTGATGGGGTGACCCCGTGGACCTCTCGACATGCCCCCTCTCCCATGGTCCCACATGTCCCCAGTCACACATGTTCATCGTTGCAGGACAGATCCTGGACGCCTTGGACCGGGAAGGGCTGACAGACAATACGCTCGTATACTTTGCCTCTGACCATGGAGGCTCACTGGAGTCTCGTGTGGGTCACATGCAGCTTGGGGGCTGGAATGGGATATATAGAGGTGAGCTCAGTACTCTCCCCAGTCTTGAGCTGTGTTCCCATACATCCCTTGGCTGGTGGCCCTGTCTCTCTCTCCCATGATCTTTCACCCAACCCCCCACCCCCGCACTTCTGATTACTCAGGTGAAATTTATCCTTGTATGGTATCCCCATCCCTTACTTACTACCTCCCATGGTCCTTCACTCTTCTCCCCACTTCTGGTTCCCTGGGGTGACAGGTGTCCTGGGCTGCTGGCCTGATCCCTCCCTCCCAGGGGCCTTCACTTTCTTCCTCCACTTCCTGTTCCTGGGTGTCCTGGAATTGTGTACTTGTCTCACACACCCTCATTCTCTCCCTTTCCATTCTTTGCCACTTCCTATTCCCACCAACTTCAGCCTCTAACCTGACTTCTGGTTCCTAGCCTTACTCCAGTCCTTCCCTCACAGGTGGCAAAGGCATGGGCGGCTGGGAGGGTGGCATCCGCGTTCCTGGTATCTTCCGCTGGCCTGGGGTGCTGCCTGCAGGGCGGGTTGTGGATGAGCCCACGAGCATGATGGATGTGTTCCCCACCGTGGTCCTCCTGGGGGGCGGGACTGAGCCAAGGGACAGGTGAGCAATGCCATCACACCAGAAATGAGCCTCAGTGACAGTTGCTGTCATAAGTCTGTGGGGCAGGGGCTGGGCTGAGGTGGGTGGACAGGTTAGCATTAACATCATACCGGAAGTGAGCGTGGGTGACAGGTGTTTGAGTGACAGATGTTGTCACATGAATTCAGGGCCTGGGAGGTGTCTAGCAGGCCAAGCACCAGGACTGGTGAGCAATGATTTCACACCAGAAGTGGGCCTGGGTAACAGCTGCTGTTATATATGAGCAGATATTGTAGAGAGGAGGATCAAGGGACAGATTAGCACAGACATCACACAGGAAGTGATTCTGAGTGACAGTGACTATGCATGGGCAATGGGAGACGAAAGCCATGAAACAAATGAACAATGATATCACAACGGAAGTCAGTGACAGTGGATGCAGGGTGGGTGTGGGGCAGAAGGGTGCATGAACAATGATGTCACTCCAGAAATATACTTGAGTTACAGGTGGGGCTGTTACATGGTATAGTGGGGGACAAGGCTGTAGAGGACTTGAGTGACAGGTGCAGTGTCATACAATACAGGGATGGGATAGCAGAGAGTTTAAGTGACAGGAGAGGCTGTAGGGCCACCATATTGGCATTGTGGAACACCTGTTTGATTGACAGCCGATGTGTCGCTGACCCCTCAGGGTGATTGATGGGCGGAACCTGCTGCCCCTGCTGCGCGGGGAGACCCCACACTCTGACCACGAGTTCCTGCTGCACTACTGTGAAGTGTTCCTGCATGCTGCGCGCTGGGTGCAGCGCGACCGTGAGTTCACAAATAACCCCTCCCTCTGGGGACTACTTTCAGATCAGAGTGGCCATGGGTTAGGCTTTCCTTTTGGCATCCGTGGGTCAATAAAATCACTCTTAGGGATGTATACTATTCCCCTCCCCCAAGTAGAGTTGTGTCTCTTCATCACTGGTATTGACAGCTGTCAATCATCCATTTGACTGGCAGGAGGAAGAGTGTGGAAGGTTCACTTCATGACCCCGAACTTCCACCCAGAAGGGGCCGGCGCCTGCTATGGCAGCGCAGTGTGCCCATGCATCGGGGATGTGACAGAGCATGACCCGCCTCTGCTCTTTGACCTCTCCACGGACCCGGGTGAGACCCGCCCACTGAAGCCTGACACAGAACCCGAGTTCCACACTGTGGTAGGGAAACTGAAGCAGGAGGCAGCTCAGCAGTGGCACTCGCTAAGCCAGATCCACCAGCAGCTGGGCTCCATCTACAACATCTGGCGTCCATGGCTGCAGTCATACTGTGGGGAGTTCCCAAACTATGGGTGTGACCTCGAGGAGTGACACCCACATTACCCTGGCTGGGACTGAGACGCAGGGCCCCGCATATCTATCATCTCCAGAAACAGAAGTTATGTTCATCCTAATGCATTATAGGTGTGGGTGCAAGGAGTTCTTTTGGTGAGGTGCAATGTGGGTGCTAGTACAGGGTGTTCCACTAGTGTGGATATGACCTTGAGGATTGACACTCCACACAAAACATCCTTCTGAGTCTATGGGGTAGGGTTCACATGTCCATCACCTTTATGATTGGATGTTAAGGCCATCACAATACATTGTGAGTGCTGGTGTAGGCTTATCCACTTGTGTAGGTGTGACCATGAAGAATGACACCCATGTGACACCCACTGGAGACATAGGGGCGAGGTTGAGGTTATGACTGCTAGGAGTGGTGTTCACATGATGACATGAGAGGTTGAGGGATGGGACTTCACCTGTTCATCAGTGTCAGAACCAAACATTATGTCCATAGTAATGCATTGTTGTTGGGTGTTTCTGCAGATTTATGTAGGTGGTTTGACTCAGGAGTGTTAACAGTTAGTTTTGATCTGCCTTGTCTCTAGTACCTTCTGAAGTCTTATCTGAAAGTTTCCTAAGGGTGCAAAATCTATGCAAAATTTGGATTGAGAAAAAAATCTAGCAAACCATGAAATTCCTTGATGGAGCATTTGCATTTGTCATTGTCCTTTTGAGAAGCTTAGATAAGATGTTTTGGGATATGGAAATCAACTTTTTAAAGGTGTAAATTGGATAATAATAAAAATGCCCTTGGCTATGGGAAAGGTCTCAGTCCATGCCTGATTCCCCTTGCAGTTGGAAAGGTTAAAATCATTCTTAAGGTGCCTCTGTGTCTTTTTTCCATGAACCCATACCCAATCTTCAATATTTAGTACCCAACACGGAGCTTGAATAAAAACAGAAGATTCCTTGCAGTGAGGAGGCCACTAGTTAGTTACCAGCCACTTAGCCCCAAAATAATCACATAGAAACTGTATTATTTAAATCACTGCTTGGCCCCTTAGCTCTAGCTTCTAATTGGCTAACTTTTACATATAAATTTAACCCATTTCTATTAATATGTGTATCACCACATGTCTGAGGCTAACCGGGTAAAGTTCTGTCCTGCTTCAGTGGGGCTACATGGCTTCTCCAGACTCTGCCTCCTTTCTCCCAGATTCAGTTTCATCTTCCCTGCCTACCTAAGTTCTGCCCTGATATAGGTCCAAACCAGTTTCTTATTCATTGATTGTAATCATTGCATACAGATGGAAATCCCACATCACATCCCCTTTTCTGTTTAAATAAGAAGGAATATTTTGTCTTTAATATAGTAAAATTATATACCACAAAACAGTTATCAAGCAAAAGTTACAGTTATAAAACTTTTATCTACTTTTTCTTTTATGGCAACTAAGAAAAATTATAACTATAGCTACATATTCTTCAATTCCATCAAAGACTCCAGAAGGATATAATATTGCCTAAGTAAACAATAACTTTATTGCAAGCAACTTTCAATACATAATTCAGACTCTGTGAATTTTCCATTTTTACCTGGCTTATTTTTCTTTACTCCATTTAATCTATGACTATATGCATTCTATCTCTTTGAAGACTCCCCCCTTTTTAAAACCATTTACTTCTTTTTATAACTATACTCCTTTTCTTTTCTCTCCCAAGCCTATATACATTATTTTTTAAAAAAAAAAACACACTGTGTCTCATTTAGAGATGTTTTCCATCTGGATTTGTCTTTACTGCATATCTATAATTGTTTACTGTCCAGAAGTGCTTTTTAAAATGCTAAGCACTTCTTAAAACTTAAGCTGTGCCATTACTAGGTTAAATACAGTACTGCATGATTGTCCCACCCAGTCCAGCATGGCAGAGCTGTTTGTGCTTCTGAGCCATGCACACTGCCTCACTTCCACACACACAGCCAGTCTACATTGCCATTAAGCATGCTGCAGCACACTGCTCACTAACCCCATCCAAATGCTCTGTAGCCAAACTTCTTGCCTGAAAGAGTCAGAGTTTGTACTGGTAGGGCCCAGAATGCTAGCATTTTAAAATGGTGCGACTTTTTTAAAACTTTTTTTGCAATGGCTGATTCAGGAAAACCTCTCTTAAAGGAGCTGTGGCACACTGACAGCAAGCATCAAGAAGCTGTGTTAAACTCTGTATTTTTGTGTCTCTCAGTTTTTTAAGTGGATTTAGTCCACCATTTTGGCACCAATTTGCCTAGCAGCTCAGGTTAAGGGAGGCTTGGCTTTCTACAGATTTCCTAACCCACTGGATCTAAAACCTGGGAGACCATGAGCTAAATAGCAAAAAGCAATAACAACCCTCAACAACCATGGAGGACCTTGAGGAGAGGCTCTAGGTAGACAACCAAGTAAGTTCTCTGTCATTTTTAATCAATAATTCCTCAAGTAAAATTTTATCTTACTCAAAGATCTCTGATGCAGCTTGACAGCTGAGAGGTATTTCTGTCTAAAAAGACAAACTCACCAAACAAATTTTAGTACAACATCTTAACATGTTCTAAATAAAGGGTATTTTAAGATATACTTATGCCAGTTGTTAATATATGGGCCTGCAAGTTATAAAGGTGTGAGGACAAATACAAGTCATCAAATTTCTCTCACGCTGCCTTTCATAGTCTTAAAGATACTTTTCATTGTGCAAAAACATCTGTCATAGTCATTCTAACATAAATATGCTGCTGTTTATTCCATATATGTATCTAAAACTTATGTTTTTACAAACTCAAAGAATTCTTGTGAGTTCCAAGGAGCTGAATTGAAGGATCCACCTTAAAGAAGTCAGATACAATCCTCTCAATTTCCTGGTCATGAAAAAAAATAATTTCTTCCTAAACTTAACTTTGCCCTCTTCTCTGCCAACACTTTTCCACGTCCATGAAACACTGGACAGTTTCATATCCCAAATCATGAATAAGGGTAAAGTAACCAGCTACCTAGGATGTGACCAGAACCCAGCTTTCTCAGGCCCCCTCAAGAAAGACTTTGATGTCCACAAATAAGCAGTAAGTAGTCTTGAGAATCCACTCTCCCAAACCCTTTAACCTGCTGTGCCTAACTCCCCACCTTTTTATTATTAGAAAAAAAATGAGACTGTTATAATTTGCTGGCCAGGTATGTCACCTGGGTACCCTGTCTCTTTTAGAGGCAATGCCCGCCCACTCCCAACTCCTCCTCCTACTGAGGCAAGTGGATCTCCTGCCTCCTCTACAATCTGCTCTACTTTTTAAAGTCCCTCTTCTAAAGAGGTAACTACTGCCTCTCTTTCTTTCCCTCCCTCCATCTCTCTCTGCCCATCCCTCTTATGAAAAGGTAACCACTGCCTCTCTCTCTCTTTTTCCCCACTTCACCCCTTCCCTCTTACCCCTTCCCTTTCTTCTCCATAATCAACTAAATAAACTCTATATCCAAACTCTCTCTGCACAGCATATCTGTCTGGCCTCAGGCCACCTACCAGTGGACTCTGAGGCCTTGCATCACCCACCACTACCCTGCCACCACCACCCCTCATGGGACCAACCTCAGGTCACTCAGGTCTATAAATGATAACAAGGAGTATTTGTAGTAAGAGGAGCGGCTGGCTATGTCCCACTGCCAGAGAAATGGGCTGCTTGTTGTCCTGCCACCAGGCTAGTTTAGCCCCTGAAATAACCATATAGAAATTGAATTAATTAAATCACTGCCTGGCCTCTTAGTTCTAGCCTCTTATTGGCTAACTCTCCTATATTAGTTTTACCCATTTCTAGTAATCTGTATATCACCACGAGGTCATGGCTTACTGGGAAAAATTCTAACCAATGTCTGTCTCAGGCAGGAAAATCATGGCATCTGCCACACTTCCCTTCTTTCCCACATTCTGTTCTGTCTACTCTGCTCACCTAAGGGCTGTCCTATCAAAAGGCCAAGGCAGTTTTCTTTATTGAACCAATTAAAGCAACACATAGAAAGAAGACCCTCTTACACCATTTCCCATTTTTCTGTTTAAACAAAAAGGAAGGCTTTAACTTTAACATAGTAAAATTACATATAACAAAAGTTATCAAGCAAGAATTACAGTTACAATATTTATATCTATTTTATCTTTTATCATAACAAAGGGAAACAATAACTATAACTAACCATTCTTCAAATCCATTAAAGACTCCAGAAGGATATAATATTACCTAAGTAAACAGGAAGTGCATTGTAAGCAACTTTCAAAACTCTAGAAAAGACAGATACATCTCACTGCCTGTGCAGTCACCCAAGTTCTTCTACACCGTTGAGGCATCCATCTTCAGCCTTCAGGCCCATAGTATCCAGCAGACTTTTCCATGAAGCAGAAAATTTCAAAGACAGTTCAGTCACTTTCTTTTGTGTCCTGCAGAATGTCTCACAGACTCTTTCATGAATCAGGAACCCTGAGGGATCATCTCACCTTTAGGCAAGTTCAGCAGTCCTCTCTCTGTAGGTTCTTTGTGTCCAGTTTATGCAACAGTCCAGGCAAGAGCAGTTTCTTGCCCAAATGGCTAGCAAACTCCATAAGGAGACTCTTCGATGTCCATCTTCCTCTTAAAGTAGATTGGTGCTGCCAGGAGCAGACATGTCTCATTGTCATGAAAAGTCCTAAGTTATTAAAACATTTAATGCCATATTCTCTAGTCTTTGAAAGATATGAAGAAAACCTATATGAAATATATCTAAGCCTATCTAGAAAATTTAACATGACTACAAACTTGACTATTATCAATGATTATCATTAACAACCTATATTTCCTAATTATACATTACATTTTTTTTGTTAAATTATAAAAGTTTCCATTTCAACCCCTCCTCCCAACACCCTCCCACTCCCCCCACTCCCTCTCCTCCTCCCTCTCCATCCCCTAGAGCAGTCAGGGTTTCCTGCCCTGTGGGAAGTTCAAGTTCCTCCCCCCTCCCTCCAGGTCCAGGGAAGGTGAGAGTCCAAACAGACTGGATCGCCAAAATCCAGTATATGCAGAGGAAGCAAGTCCCAGTGTCATTGTCAATGGCTTTTCAGAAAGGCTCTGGGCCAGCCACATTCAGAGAATCTGGTTGGATCACGTCCTCGTTCAGTCCCAGTCCAATAGGCCTTGGTGAACTCTCATTATATCAGTTCCCTTGTATCAGTGGGTGCTCGCATCCCTCGCAGTCCTGATTACTTTTTTTATTTTCTTCATCCTTCTGCTCCTCAGAAGAATGGACCGTGGAGTGCTCAGTCCGGTGCTCCAATATGGGTCTCCGTTTGTATCACCATCCAACGTCAGATGAAGGTTTCCTCTGCCCTTGCCTTCTTTGCTCATGTTCTCTTTCTTTCTGCCTCTCATTTGGACCTAGGGAGCTAGGTCCAGTATACATTACATTTTTAAATGAACTACACAATCACAAAACCTTAATCAAGATCAGAAATACATAAACATATAACAAAATTTACCTTAAATTTATAACAAAAAACAAAATTTATATCAATGTAAATTATTCATAGCTATATCATATCCCCTTTAAATGTAAAAGAACAATTATAAACAATATTTGGGAATATGGATGTAGTTTTCTTTCTCCAAACTGCTTCATGCTATATGGGGGCACTGTTAATCAGATCTTTCATGGTATATCCTGCATGCTAGGTTTATCTCAGTCAGCAGTTGGGTGAAGAAATTTTTGAGGGTGTTTACAGCAACCTTTCAGCAAGGCATGGTCTATCATACCATATTGGTCTAAAAACAATCCACAG